TAGTTGCTGCCATATCTAAAAGAACGACCTACTAAAAGTGTTCTATATCTACTACTAAATATTCAGTTGGGCTGTGCTCTGTCCATGGGAATGCTGCGAATGAGTAGGGCCTGAATATGTGACTTGCTTTATTATTATATCCCTAAGTGGGAGACCTCATTAAGGTCCATGATTACTGCAGCCGGCCGTCCCAATGGGCGCCGTTGTAAAACTCTACTGTGGCTAATTTAGTTCTGTGTTGATGATGCGAGGACAAATGTAGACGTTTTGGGGCAGACGATTAAACAAACATTATTCAAAATGTCTCTCCGTAAAGTGTCATTATGTCCTTGTACGCTTGTGTTTGTCTAATGGGGAACATGGTGTGGTGACCAAGAAGATTGTTACATGCACAGTGTTTTGCATGACTGTATTTTCCCAATTGCATGGTACAAAAATAACTCCTAGTATACTATACTATTTCATCCCCATCTCTGATGCAGCGAGATAAGAATGCAAGAATATTCATTTTCAAATGTATCATAAGATAACCCACTTGCTATGTAGAGCATGCAGCGGCGATTGAGTTCCAAATAACAGAAGATTAAATTCTAATTAAGGATTAAGGTGATTAGCAGCTCCGGGGAAAAGGGAGCAAAGTTAATTTGTGTTGCAATTAAATCTTTCTATTGACCTCATCAAAGGTAGATGAAATTTGCTGGGATCAATTGAAGTCGTAACATTTCTGTGGCATAACAAGCCACAAGTGAACTTGATAAAACCTTGCATTATAAAATATTGATTGTATGTATACATTTTGCTGTATTCAGTATTGACTTCACACTAACCCTTGAATACACTTAATTGCGTGTGTGTGTGTGTATCACTAATTTACAATATACTTAAGGATCAGCGAAGTCGTCTCCAATTATAGTTTTTAATACTTGCCTGAGGCATCGACAACTGAGTTGTTTACCAACGAAATTATTGTGCAGATACAAACACAGAGCATGTCTGAAATCTCGATTTTCCTTCATATATCTGAGACCACATGGTCTTTTTATCATTCAGTAAAATAATCCTCCTAAATTTGCGCTAGGGGTGTGATGAAAAAGATTTTATTTCTTGTGGCCCTGTCCAAATAGCTGGGGCACTGGAGGACGAAATTAGCAGCAGATTGTGGCGCTCTAGACAAGACTTCCTGAAGGTACCCAGACAACCACTCAGATATTTCATTTGTTCTGATTTATTCCCTCAAGAAAGCCATTATCTGTTTGTCCCCAAAATGTCTAGACTGATTAATGTAGCATTGCCATTGGTGTCACACTTGCTGACTGAAATAAATAAAGCTATTCAACCATTGGGCATAAAAAAATACGTATCTGGTCAATATGCCTTGGGACCCGTATTTCATACTGACCTATGCCTTCAGGTCGAAAATCTATACTTAAATGTTCACCCAATGTTCAGTCTAATCTTCTACACTTCCCCTTCAGTGACATATATCAAATAAAATTCTATAGCTGTGCTGGCAATATTGGATCAACCAAGCATAGCAGTATGAGCGTGAATGGCCATTTCTGTAGTTGCCTGTGGGCAAGCTACGTTATCATCTATACAGAACTTTAGTCATTTGACCTGGATCCTAGCAAACTTTCAAGGGCGTACGTATCCTTACTTTTTAAAAGACTGCTACTTTGCCTTAGCTACAAAAATAAATGTATCCTCTGTGATTGCGGTTTAAGAGTGTCCATCAGGCATATCAGATGCTCGCGTTGGTGGATCTTGACTGTCGTACATTCAGGGTTTTGCTTGCTTTTGTCTACATCCCACGAGAGATAGACGTCTGCACCAAGACGTCTTGGCATGTCTGAAAAAGTTTCTTGAAGCATTCATCATTCAGCACTACGTCTTTGAGGTAAACCACCTTAACCCCTTTTAATGAACTAAGCTTCCTCTTACCCCGGGCTCTTCCTGCTTTCTTCCAGGCATTTGATAACAACTACAAGAAGTGGCTTTCAATTTTTTACTACACCAGGCGTACTGCAGTAGACGTTTCTTATCGCCTTCTCCAACGGTTCCCTGAGGTGGAACACAGTCCATAACACGTTACACCGCGTTTTAGTCATTGACCGTGGGATCGTTTGGGGAAATGTTTTGCTGCCCCGGCGCCAGTATGTAACAAAACACCTCCGCGGGTCATGATTGCATTAGCTGCGCACTCAGACCGTAGCCATTTTTACGGATGCTTTTTATAGTGTATAGTTTTGAAAAGGTTGGGGCGAAAGGGCTGGGAAATATTTGAGTCCTAAAAAGACACGATGCAATCTCTCAAATCGTCATGAGAAACTTTACAGTCTAAGTGATATTTGATATTCCATTGCACTATTCAAAATCGGACAGAATTATTGCACATCTTCAATACTTGAAGCTTTTATGATCGCCCTGGAGTCATTTGGAGAATATTGACTATATATTTTATTGCATCTTGCAAAGTTGAAGACTACGTTTCAGGCAGTAATATGCATACAAATGAAAACTCGGTAAGAAGAGAGGCGTAGAAAAAAAACATTATTTTAACGCCACCGATTCGTATCACCTGAAACTAACTGCATTTACATTGGCAAAGAACCCGAAAGCATCAAAGGAAACGATAATAGCGTCAATAAAACAGTGGCCCTATTTCGACCTTACTCTGCGTTAACAATACTGACCTAGTCGATTCCATTTTCTTCAGGGCCTATTCCATCACCCAAATGACTACTAAAGAGACTTAAAAGGTTGGCTCAGCTATCAGAGAACGTTATTGGTGCAGACGCTGGTGCTTTTATCAGCTTATCTCTTTGTGTGGTTTGTCAGAACAGTTTGGTTTTGCAGTGTTCCAACCTACGACCTGTGGGCAATGTTCCAATAACATATGTGCTGACTAACGTCCCCTGGGGAGCAAAGGAGTTTCCCCGACCCACTTGTTGTTATTACAGGAAGCTGAAATTTTGCATGCATATTTTATGTAATAATACACACCTCTATAGCTCTTTGCACCATTTGTTTACACGTGTATGGCCTTTTTGCACGTATGCGTGCAAAACATGTCATATGCATCAGTTCGAGTACTTCGTCCCATTGATGTCATACCTGCTTGAAAATGGGAAAACACTTTGGATTTACAATCTGCAGCAAACAGTACAGTCAAATGCACAGTTGCAGAAGGATTGTAAGAAGCAAAATCAAGACAACAAAATGAGGACGAAAGCATGATGTTTCAGGAGACACATGACACTTTGCGGTTCCTTCGGCAGTAAGTTGGAAAGTATGGCTTGGCTTCCAGCATGATAACAACCGATCGAAACAGCATGCTTAAATGATTGTATCTGAACAAGCGCAATTTAACAGCATTTGGCCTCCATCCAGATAGCGTCTCTCTGTTGCTGTTATCACCAAATCAATGTTCATTTATCTGGCTTAAGAGATGCTCGCCAACTACAGCTAACAGTGCTTCATGGTGTGAACCTACATCTTGTAATGCTGTACGTTTGAAGTGCATATACTCACGGGGTCCTTGGTTATTTGGGGCAAAACTCAACAAACGATGCACTGGTCATGTAAGGCGACATTTGGGCTACTTTTACCTTACATAACAACCCAACATGATTGCCTGAAAGAACGAAAATGGCTGGTTCTGGCAGGTATATTAGTTAAGCAACCATAAATGTGGCAACGCTTCATAAATAAATACATGAGCCACCGTTACGGTGTTTGGTGTTATATCTGTGTAACCAATCATTTTCGGCTCTGGATAAGAGTGATAAATCGACCATGTTTTGAGGTTTTTGCTGAATATCTTCATCTAAATCACTATTGCACACATAAATTGCCAAGTTTCAAAGCTCGGTGAAAATTGAAAGAAAACGTGGGTAGAATGCTTGATGGGTTTGGATAGTCAACGGTTGGTCTCTCTGTTCGATTGAATAGACAACCGAAGTATTAAATAGTATAGATGCATTATTATTGCTCACATTTTGGCAGTTTTTTATGTTTCACTGGACCAAAAGGGAAACATATTCTCAGTTTGGACAACTCAAACCAACCACCCACGTCACTTATCACTGCTGCTGATTTCGCTAAACCTTGTTATTACACTTATTTCAAATCCATGTTCTACATTGAAACTTGCTGCTACGCTTCTTGTGACTTTCCTGGTGTTGGCTATGTAACGCACCACATCATTGCATTCGTCAACCTTTGACTGCCTACTTTTAATCCTGAGAAACGGCATAATCCTAATGTAAGTGACACGAGGAGTTGTCTGGAGAATTCCATAATTACTTTTCCGATGCACAAAACACGAGTAGTCCTTGAATCTCAGTCGAAGTGGATCTTTATATGCGTCAGGAGAGGCCCAGAGTATCGACCGGCGGCACAAATCTCCATGAATGGGACCTCCGGAACATATCGGACTGTAATCTTGGCCGTCCAGGGAAGCATTTGGTTATCTTACGAGGGGAAAGGAGCAAGCTGCATCGATGGAAGCCGGGTGGAACTTCGATAACGACATTACAAACGAACATGTCTCTTCATTAATGTCTTACACTATGCACAGGAGGATAACTTATCAGGATTCTCCAGTATCAAATTGATTCTGGTCACCTACAGCTCTTGTGATTACCCATGGTTGCTTGACATGCAAAGAGGTGATTCTCGTGCTTAGGCGGCCATTCTACAAGCATGTACTTTGCCACAGATATTGATGATACAGAATCGTTGAGAGTCAACAGAAATGTTTGAACGTGTCAGAGCAAAATTAGGAAACAACGTACCAGCCAAATAAGAGTTAATCTCGTCTTTCAGTAAAGTCTACCGAAGGGTTTATGGTACCTCTTTTTGTGTGCTTGCTTCCAATGATGCCGCCATTGGTAAATAATCATTCAGTGGTTCACTATGTGAGCTCATTGATACTGAAAGGATTGCAGTATTGGTTTGCTATGTCAGTATTTATAACAGGATATGACGTATTGTTACAGCGGCGCCGTTCAAGCTGACTTTGACCTCTCCTCGGTTGACATCAACCAGTGCCCCGGAAGCACAACCATCTTTGCTGACACCCACAAATGTAGGAACCGTTCTACCGAGGTATGTTTTACCGCATTCGTTCAGGGTGATGTTTGGTGGTCCACCTTTTGTGAAAATATATTTTTATCGGAATGCTTGTGAGCTTAGACACTATATGATGTACATATTCATAGCAATGATCTATCAAATGAGAACTTTCATCATATCTGTTCCCCAGGGAAAATCCAGCACTACTCCATGGATTTTCATACATTTCAAAATATGTTCCGTATACGTAGCTCGTAAGATACACTATTCCTCTTGCAATCATGAACCATTTATTTCCCGTCAAGTAGTGGTCTTTCAATCAATTAAATTAAAATTTAATTGATTGAAAGACCACTACTACACGTCTATGCTCTTATATGCAAAGTACCCGTCATGGACCCAGATAAATCAGAAGTTTCTACAAGTATACAGACTATTGTAAACTACTATAATGAACTACTATACTTGTTCCTACACTATCGTTACTGTATGTAGTGGGTGTGGCACCCATTGTTATTCCTACCACGATCAGATCACGGCGAAGAGCCGGCGGTTCAGTCATCATTTTTTACCCTTCAGTAACTCGGATCGCTTCTGGCGGGTAGACGAATAATCCCATTTTACCGGACTGGATGGAATAAGCTGTTGTAAGCCAGACTTGTCAGCATGAGTTATTTCAAGGATTAAGAGCGCTGGCCGCTACCAATGTCCTTGAAACTACATTTTACACTAGAAACGGGATGTCAGAAACAATATAAATATAGTATTATTTCAGTCATATATGCGTCCATATGAAATATATCATATTTTGGAGTTTTGATTTAGAACAAAGCAGAAAAACGTCAGTAAAGGACTTGGGAAAACACAATAAGACAAAAAGTGTAAGATTCCAAACTTAAAAACCATTAACCCGAGCCCACACGACGTAACTCCTGAGCTAGAATATATTGACAACATTTGTTGGTAGACGATACCACGAAAAGGTACAGAATTATTTTATTTCAATACACAAAAGTACAGATACAAAGAAAAAAATTACATCATCTCTACCCCAATATCTAATCAAATGCGTAACCTAAAAAATCCGTATTACCCACCTTGAGTTAAAGCTGGGAACACACAAACATGACCTTCAAAAATACATTGACCTACCAACAAACGTAAAATCAATCAAAGAAGAGATCATACCTCTACCTTTAGGGACAGAGGTTGTCAGGGGTTGATAAAACTATCTAGCTTGAAGTCAGATAGATAAAGATAGTGGTATTAAGCGTTTCCTGTGAGAAACCACCCACGGATCAGTGCCTTAGCAAGGAAGACCCTACAGCGTCGTCATAAAGCCTTAGATGAATAAGCTGACTTTGTGAAGATTCGACGTCCTTCTAAAACTGATGCCACTACGATCCATCTTACTTTATGAAGCGCCAAACTGCTGGGGGAAAATGTGAAAATACATCTGATTCTGATTAATTAGGCAGAAATATACGAACAGCAAATATCTGTATCCTCAGTCATGCCTAGAGACAGAATGAGTAAAATGCCAAATAAAGAGAGTACCAAATAGTACGTTTTATCAATTAGTAATTATTTCACCTAGACAAAATGAGGAGAGTAGTTGATAGGCCTAGGACATCCTTTTCTTGAACTTTTAAGATGTTGACACGGTATGAGGTACACATTCTTGAAGGAAATCAGCTGCTAGCCTCCAGACATTGTTTCAGTTTTCCTTCTATTCCTCCCCAGTGTGTCCCGATTCCCGGCCAAGGCTTCCGTCGAGGTTCGTACTACTGCCAGTGTCGGAAGGGCTACTACTTCCCAGACCCGAACGTGAACCAGACGTTCTTCGACGGCACTGTCGTTGAAGAAGAGTACCTAAGATGGCGACGAGGCAAGCGCACGGCGTACCCCAACAGTTTCGAGTGCCTGCCGTGCGCAGAAGGGTGCGAGTCTTGTCTTGACGAGTCGCCATGTCTGGTGCAGGAGGACCAGGTCTTGAAAACCATCGTCGCCGGAATCCAGTGCTTGAGCGTTGTCGTCTGTATGGTGCTTGGGGTTGTCGCGTTCAAGCACCGGAAAACAAAAGTAAACCGTTCATGCATTCTTCGGTGTATCATCATGATCAGTTTGCTATTGCTTTCTCTCATTGTTTCAAAAACTTGAGGTCACATGATATGGCCGTATGGCGAATCCGTACGCAAATCGACTTGTTACTTTTCAATGTATCAGTTATTGCACTGAACAGCTACACTGTTCTTCCAAGAAATAACTCACACAGTTTATCTGATGTGTCCCTTCTAGTCTGTTGAAGCCTTTGGCCCGTGGTTGCTGCTGCTTCTGCTTTTCGGGACAGTATTGTTGTATAGCCCGGTAGGTCTTATCTTTCATCCTTAGCATTTCTGGCAATTTGCATATTTGGGTCATTTTCTGGTCTAATTTGCATATTCGATGTGTAATTTAAATATTCGATATGCAAATGTTAGATGCAAATTACAACCATGGATTTGGTTTCCTAACTTTTTACACCATTTACAATAGCCATTGTTTTTCCCAAATTTCTGATTCCATTAATGATCGTCATCGCCAAGTAAGGAAAGGTCTAATTATGTACCATAGAAAGTTTCTTTGCATATGAAGTATCTGAAATACTTTACGCATTGAGTTCACATATCTTGTAACCTTTACAGGTCATAGTGCTCTACTTCCGACCTATCGCCGCTACATGTCTCCTGTTGTTCTGGTTCAGAGAGCTCGGCTTCGCTTTGGCCTATGGAGTACTTGTTCTGAGGGCAAGGAGGTAATTCCTAAGAATAGCACAATTTTACTGTGATGGGAGATTGCAATAGTTTATTCTTGCTGCTCATTTACTTTTGTGTTCCTAGTGAGTAAAATGTACAACGGGATATCTCTGGTATCTATTTATAAAGTAGAAATGTTGTCACCGCGTGTGTTGAGACAAACAAGAAGCCCCGCGGTGTCTGATCCGTAGACATTCAACGTGATTTATTCTCCATACAATGAAAGAAGATACGATGCCAACGTAATGCCCATAAACAGAGACGTTTCCGGGCCTTTGCCGTCGTCTGTCTACCCTTCCAGCCCGCAAATGAACTTATAGAATGCCGTTTGGGCCAAATTTAGAAACTGTATTGTTACATCATCTAACGTAGATTGGATTGTCAGATATATTTGTCAGATATATTTCAGATTTATCTGACCATTGGCGCTTGCTTGTAATGCAGAATGTATATATTCGTCACAAATATCGACTTTCATTAAAGGTATTGGCAGGCTTTCAACGCTAAGTCATGGCTGCTATGTATTCATTTACTGACTACAGACAGGTTCGATAGTTGGTCTCAACCGTTCTACTACATGAAATTGAATTTATTTAGGAACTGAAGTCTCTTCCATCTCTTCCATCTCTCTTCAAAATAGATATTTGGAAGTGTTCCAAACAAGATCGGCTACTCAACTGGAGCTGTCTGATAAAGGTCTGCTGAAGTTGCTGGCTGCCATCGTGCTGGTGGCCCTGGGTCTGCTGTTCGCTGGTACGGCGTGTACCGTGCAGGAGGCCCGAGCAGGAATCAGCATCGTCTCGGTGGATGGGAGAACGGGCTCGGGACTCAAGTTCCCCTACTGCTCGCTGAGTCTGTGGAGCTACTGTTTAGATATAGGTATACAATTACAGTATATATGGTGTGTTACATACGATATCTTACTTACATCAAGTATCATTGAAAACATTCATATCTAGGAACTGTCAACATGCGAAACGAAGTAGAAGTTGACATTCAATACTTGTATGTCTGTCTGTCTGTCTGTCTGTCTGTACCATGTCTCTATATAAATGTTTGACTTGCTGTAGTGTCTGTAAATAACCGGTTTCTAACCCGTACTTCCTCAGGAGAACTGCTGTTCCTGGTGTGGGGTCTGTACCAGTGTTATCGCATCCGCTCAGCGCCCTCTGAGTTTAACGAACCGCTGTTCATGACCATCGCCATCGGCAATGAAGCTCTGCTTACATTGATCTTCAACGTCGCGAGGTAACTGTTGTGTCCAGAACCGTACTTTATCCAGAACCATGCTCAGGAACGGTCCGGCCACATTTGTCGCACGATCGAAAACTGGAGGCATTCTAGGTCGTTGATCTGTACATGTATGTAAGCCACGATAGAGTCGGGACAAAAGCGCCGACTATCAGCTTTTTTTGCCAATGCATCTGCATTCAGACGCTTCATTTGGTCCGCTGACCATGCTGAGAGTTCAGCATCAATGGCGCGGCTGAAGTACTCCCACTTGACTTAATCCCTGGCGCCGCTGCCGGCTGTAATGTTATGGTTGGTGTTTGACGAGTGTTGAAAGGGTGGACTCTAGCCCCATAGGGGGTTGGTGTTACGGTGTTTTCTGTATCTTTTGCAATGTGAAGTCCATGCACTGCAGCAGCATGTATCTGTTCCTCTTTCTCTCTCCCCCCCCCCTTCTCTCTCTTGAATCCTTCCTCAGAATCTTTTCAAACTTTACAGACATGCGGTCCTGCCAATCATCCACCCGGATGTGACATACTTAGCTCACTTCCTGCACAGCCAGCTGACTGTCACGGTCATGGTCGGGATCATCTTCATTCCAAAGGTCACTACAATATTTTTATGTTTACCGAAGGAAAACATATTGTTTTTGCTATGCTACGTTTCTTCTTCTACTTCTCCAAACAGTGACCTCTGACCTGACCGAACCAGACTGTCTCTCACCATGGTAACTGGTGTTGGGTTACATAATGTTGCAATTTTATAGTAGGAGGGATTTAGACTCCTATCACTATATATGTGTTTGAGTAAGAATTGACAGAGCAGACCATACGCGAAGGTAAACATTATACATTTGCTTTACAAATGTTACTTTTCTATTTTTTTTCTATTTACCATTTTATAGATAGTATCGATGTTATAACAGCCTGTGTAACATACTTAGTAACTTGTCCTTGTTCTCACTTGTGGCCTTTCCTGCTGTTTTGTGTTCCTCAAAGCTGCGCCATATTGGCCAGGTGGAGAGGCAAAGACGTGACTTCCGGTCTCGGAAGTTCCGGGCCAGAAGCTACGCCCCTGGACTGGAGCTGGACAATGCCATACCCCGGACCCAGACTAACGGCTCCATCTGCGAGCAGGCTGCAGACCCATCGGAGCTCAGGGTAATTAACATTCTGATAGGCTGTTTAGAGTCACGTGAGCATGACATTGTTTTCCATCGTCCAGCATCTTGGTACAATGGTCCTTATACTCGTTAGTAAT